AACCCTACATCACATACAAAATTTAACTCAAAATATACCAAACTCCTAAATGTTAAAGATAAGATCATAAAATATTTAGAATAAAATACAGGAGTAAATTTCTAGAACCTTGAATTAGACAATGGTCCAAGGACACCACAAGCAACCAAAATAAATAAATAAACGAATAAATGAATTGTACATAAGCAAAATTTAAATTTTAGTGCTTCATAAGACACTACTGAGAAAGACAACTCACAGAATGAAGTATCTGTAAAACACATATCCAAAAATGTTTGGTATCTAGGATAGACAAAGAACTCTTATGACTCAATAATAAAAAGACAACTGAACTCAAAACCAGGCAACATACCTGAATAGACAAGGATTTTTTTTTTTTTTTTTTGCTGTACTGGGGATTGAACTCAGAACCTTGTGCTTGCCAGGCAAGCACTTATTTTACTGAGCTATCTCCCCATGCGAGTCTCCAAAACATATATACAAGTGGACAATAAGCACACACAATGTTTTAAACATAATAAGCTATCATGAGTCTATGAATCAAAATCACAATGCGATACCACTTTATGTCCATCAGGATGGCTATAAGCAAAAGGACAGTGCTAGTGTGGACATAAGAAACCCAAAGCTCAGATACTTATGGGAATGTACATTGGTACAGCCACTACAGAAAATACAGTTCAGTTCTTTAAGCAGTTCAAGTTCTGCCATGTGAGTTTCAAGTTCACTTATAGTTACTAATAATAGTCAAGAAAAGCAATATATGTCTATGCAAACACTTGTACAAGTACACAAGTATTCATAACATCATTACTGGTAACAGCCAAAAAAGTAGAAACAACCCACTGTCCATCAATTGACAAATAGGCAAACAAATATGGTATACCCATACAATGAGTGGAACGTTATTCCACTATGAAAAGGAAAAAAAGCACTGATACATGCCGCAGTGTAAAGGAACCTTGAAAACATCATGCTAAGTGAAATGAGCTGGACACCAAAGAGCACAAGAAAGACCACATACTGCATGATTCCATTTGCATTACATATCCAAAACAGACAAATCTACAGAGACATAAATTAGGTGTGTATTTATCAGGAGCTTGGGGGATGCCAGGATTGGGGATGATTGCATAGGTAAGGTTTCTTTTTGAGGCAATGAAATGTTTTAAAATTGACTGTAGTGATAAATTCAGCATTATATAAATACACTAAAAGTCATTAAGTTATTCACTATAAATTACCAAAGTACATGATATAAAGATTATACCTCAACAGCTAAAGTACAAAAATAATAACAAAAGGGTACAAATTTATTTTTCATGGGCAGTGCACTACTGGGTTGCTACTGCTCATTCCAGATCTGTTTCCTATAATCCTCTTCTTGCCAGCACTAACACTGCATCTTCTTTTTTTTGAGACACGATTTCACTCTGCAGTTCAGGCTGGCTTTGAACTCACTTCATAAGCCAGTCTAGCCTTGAATTTGCAGCAATAATCCTCCTGCTTCAAGCTCTTGAGTGCTAGGATTACAGGTGTGCACCCATGGCCAGCTTTGTACCCTCTTTTTCTAAGGAAACATGAGTATGTAAGTTTCTTCTAATATTAATACTCAGACTCCATTTCATTTGATTTACTCTTTGTATTGGCTCTGGTTACCAGTAGCACGTTTCTTTCTTTCTTTCTTTTTTTTTTTTGTAGTGGAGGTAGTTCATATTTATTATAAAAAATTAAATTTATAATGAAATATCTCACAAAGAAAACTCAAAGCCCAAATGACTTTCTTACATAATTACTCCAATTATTTAATAAAATATAATCATTTTTTGTGATTCTGAAGACTGATCCTGGTGCTTCACATTAAACGGTATCCTCAGCGCCCCCCTTCTTACACTTTGAAACAGGATCTTGCCTAGTTCCCTAGGCTAACTTCTTGCTATCCTCTTGCCTCTTCCTCCTGAGTAACTGAGGTTATAGGCCCAACATCTAATAAATTTTTCCAGAGCATAAACAAGTGGAAATATTTTCCAATGTTTGATGGGACTAGCATAATAATAGCAGTATCTGATGAAGCCTTACAGGGAAGTGTTGGATAAGAAACTGAAGGATCTGAGATGCTGCCCTATTTTGACCATAAGTTCATAAACATACATCAACTGATGCCAAATTTTTCTGAATTAACAAGACCATTTATATGATTTAACCAAGTCAAACATATCAAAACCATTCT